CACACACACACACAGGGGGGCCGTTCCGTGAAGATGAAGGCAGAGATCCAGGTGATGCCTCCACGTGCCAGCAATGGCCAAAGATCGCCAGCAAACCCCTGAAGCTAGGAGAGGCACGGAACATTCTCTCTCGGTCCTCAGGGGGAACGGGCCCTGGCCACCCCTGGCTCCGGGACTCCCAGCCTCCAGGAGGGTGAGACAAAACATTTCTGTCGCTGAAGGCTCCCAGTTGGCGGCTCTTTATTAAGGCAGCCCTAGCAAAGTCACGCAGCACCGAGGGAAGACAGGGTCGGCCTCGGGGCTGAAAGGCAGGCCCGGGTTTGGGAAAGAAGGAGTCAAAACCCGCTGTAGCTTAGTGGGGACACCCTCGGTGTCTTCCAGCAAATCTCCCCCACTACCATGCACCGCAGGCCCGGTGCCCCGAAGAAGGCAGCCGGTGCGGGGTGGGGGGTCCAGGAGAGAAGACAAGTGGGCGGGGCAAGAGGACCGAGGCAGAGCACGTGCACGGGCCACCCCCGCTGCTAAGTCAGAGCTGACACCGAGTTCTCGTCCGTCCCTGGTCTTGGCAAGGAAAACGAAGAAGAAACGACACTCAAGTCAGAATCAGAGCTTATTCTGAATAATTTTGATTTTTTTTTTTAGATGCGGGCGGGGAAAAGATAGAATGTGAGTGTCTAGTGAGGTTTGGGATTATCTGTGTTTGGATTCACCTCTGATACACTTCAAAAGGCAGCTGGGAGTTGGCATCCTGGCAGAACCACGTGGATGTCTTCTCACGGCGATGAGAAAAGGGGGCACCTTTTGTCATCTGAACGTGCCCAATCCCCAGAGGCTGGGCTGTCCGGCACTGTTGGCTTTCCAGGGGCTCGACCTCTGCCAGGACCCCTCTTGGCATGACAGGGAGCCCCCAAAGACACAGTCACTGTGGAGGATGGCCCCAGATGCAGGGTGAGATGTATGCCCGCCTGGAAATGCTGGGCTTCGTTTGGGGTCCCATCAGGGGTCAGACTGGTGCACAGGGGACTCGGGACACCTGGAAGGTTCCAGTAAAGTAACTATATGCTTCACTGAATGGACAGCCCCCTTCCTTCCCAGAAGCCTCCCTGTCCTCTGGAGGGACAGCCACTTCCTGGGAAAAGACTGGCTTGGGCATCTGGGTGGCTCAGTAAGTTAAGTGTCTGACTTACGCTCAGGTCATGATCTCACGGTTCGTGGGTTCGAGCCCTGCGTCGGGCTCTGTGCTGACCGCCTGGAGCCTGGAGCCTGCTTCGGATTCTGTGTCTCCCGCTCTCTCTGCCCCTCCCCTGCTTGTGCTCTGTCTCTCTCTCTCTCTCTCTCAAAAATAAATAAGCATTAAAAAAAAAAAAAAAAAAAGACTGGCTTTTTTTGGTCAAAAGTTTATGTCTGAATATGGTGTGGCTGGCTTTACCTTCTCCCTCCCCACTGATTATTTCTGGAAGATGCAAACCAAATGCAGTTCTAACAGTGGCATTTCAGGCAGTGCAATGGGCGGCTGTGAGGAAGCTATTTCTGGGCTGAAGCAAGGAGGGCGGTGGGTAGGAGGACAGGGACTAGTGTCTGATACTTGGGTGGCTGCCTCCTCTGAGGCCAACCTCTCGGGCGCATAAGAACCGTTGCCTGCGCCCTGCCTCCCTGGCCGGAGCCTCCGCCCCTGCTCAGCAGACAGCTGGGTGCTGTGTGTACCTCTGTAACGGAGAGACAGAGGCCACACAAAGGGGGCGCTGGTGCCTGGTGGCCGCTGGGGACAAGACTGGAGTCACTCAGAGCTCCCTCGTGACCTTCCCAGGCAGTGCCAACCTGGACTCTCCGGCCGGCAGCTGCTCAGTCACAAGCTTTTCTTGGACCATCTTCTGGGCACAGTTTTAACTGGTGACAGGAGTTTCTGGTTCCCTTCGCCGGTTCAGCCCAGAAACGTAGACGCTGACGTCCCTGGCTTGTGGTGCACTTGGGACAGAAGGGACTGGGCAGTCGGCCCACAGCTGGTGACTCAGGAATGGGGCAAGGAAACGGGCGGTGGGAGGTACACAGAAGGCACGGTTCAAACCCCACCTCTGACCCTTCCCAATGGTACGATCTAAATGAAGTCAGTGGGCTTCTCTGGGCCCAATATTCATCTGAGAAGTGGGGCTAAGTCTCCCAGCTCTGAGTCTCTGACCAGGGGGAAGATACCTCAGTGTAGGTGCTCTAAGCTGATGGAGCCCCTCCAGACCTCCAGGGTAGGTACTGCTCACACACTGGTGGGTGGAAAAAACCGGTCAAGGGCAGGAGGTTGAGCTAGGAAGCAGCCAGGTCCTGTACTAAAGAGGCTGTGTGATTCGTATTCCACAAAAGCAAGGACCGAGGGACAAGTGGACCCCGATGGGTGCCAGAGGTGTGAGGGATGGGAAGGGAGGCGGGCATGAAACCATGTTAAGAGCCCCATTCCCTGCCCCAGCCCCAGGAAAGATTCGTCCCGGCCCCTAGCTCTGGGCTCACAGGCCACACTGACAGTTCTCAGTCAGCAGCCGAGGTGGACAAAGGCGACCAGTGTCCTGCCTGGGCTGGTCAAAAGCCTTTTGTGCCAGTCTGATCTTCTAGTCATCCCCTAGAAGGCCGGGGTGGCCATGGGACTGGCCACCTGCACCCTGTGGACGGGGGGATTCTGATTTCTCTCTCCCCCTCTGTGTGTTTCTCGCTCTCTGGCTCCCCAATTCCAGCGGCTTCTCTTCCCAGTCTCGGAGCCCCAGGTTTTGCTGAGCAGACAGAGGCCACAGTGAAGGGGAGAAGGGCCCAGAGTCCTTTGTAGAACAGTCTGGAAAAAAGGATTAGACACCACAGCCTATTCAGGTGTGGGTAGAGGGACCAGTGGGAAGAAGACTGTTGGCTAATTCTGATAACTCGTCTCTGCATTTTATCCAGTTTGGGATTTGCAAAAGCCCCTCTTAATTGTCTGCTTGCGAGTAAAGGGGGGCTGGAGCAGAAAACTCTAAAACCGAGGACAGCCCCGCTTGGAGGGCAGGCTTACAGCTGCGTACATCCTAGGGTTACGGCGCTAGAGGCGTTAAAAGATTTGTTTTTAGTTTATTTTGAGAGAGAGAGACAGAGAGAGTGAGTGGGGGAGGGGCAGAGAGAGGGGGGGGGAGAGAGAATCCCAAGCAGGCTCCGCACCGTCAGCACGGGCTCGAACTCACGAACCGTGAGATCATGACCTGAGCTGAAACCAAGAGTCAGACGCGTAACCAACTGAGCCACCCAGGCGCCCCTAAGAGGGTCTGATTTTTAAAGACCTGGCAATGAATCGCTGAAGGAAGCATAGGCCTGGTCTCTCGGTCCTGCCCCTCCTCAGCCCAGGGGCGGATTATGTGGGCTCATGAACTTTGTCTCAGCTTCCCCAGGTCTTAACCCAAAGTTGTAGCTACTGAAGCACAAGGTCAATGATGCCCATTCCTACACGTGTGTGTGGGGCTGGCAGATGGCTCAGAGTTCAACAAAAGTCAATCCCATTCCTTAGCGCTGGATGAGAAACGCTAACCAAGGGTGAGAGTCTCCCTGGGTACTGAGTACATCATAAGACTTCAGACTAGAGGACCCTCACCCCCATGATAAGGCCACAACGGACACCCAATCCTTCTGTCCGCCCAGCCCTGTGAGCCCCGGGGGACCCGTCCTCGCCCCTACTTCCGGTCCATCTGAACCAGACCAAGTTTGAGCCATCCCAGCCTCAGGCCTGTGGAGGAGACCCAACCCGGCTGATGGATATACTGTCCTGTGATTGGCTTAGAGGCCATGTGAGCCGGTCTGAGCCAATGAGACTTGATTCCGTGACTCCTGTGGAAGATTCTCTTCCCACTGGAGTCTCAGACAGAAGAAAGCAGAAGGCTGAGCTGATGTCTGCCATGTTGCCACCCTGAGGGACAGTGTGTTCAGGAAAACAGCCAGAGGTGGAGGGAATGAGGCAAAGCCCTGATGACAAGGCCTGGATCCAGCTGAGCCTGAAGCCAGTCTGACCTGGGAATTTTTGGTCCCTTAGCTCCCAGTCTTTCTTCAGTTACTTTGAGTTGAGTTTCAATTGCCAATGTTATTACTAATTAATACATGGCCAAACAGTGCTGGGACTCAGAGGATGCCTTTCTGGTTACAAGTTCCACCCTTCAGTAAGTATTTACGGCTAACCAGAACTGGGGACTGCACACAGGGATTGAGGGCCAAGCAAATAAGCAACGTGAGGCTGGCGAGAGGGGCTTGGGAAGGAGCCACGCGTTCACGCACATGCTCCAGAGGGCGGCCGGCCTTTTCCAAGAGCAGTCACAAGGCTGCACGTGTCCTGGTTTCCCCTCCCGGCCACCAATGCTGAGCGTTCAGTCGCTTCACAGGGTGAGGGCTAGCCGAGGATTTCCTAACGTAACTGGCTTTGTAAAGGGTGAGGTCCCTGAGTGACACCCCAGTGCCCCTCCCCACAGACTCCCGGTGGCTCTTCCGACTCTTGCCACCTCCTTTCACAAAGCTTCTGCCAGAGTTTGGGAGAAAGAGAGGAAGAGGGTAGAGCCAGAAGGCCCGGAGGGAGGAAGACCCTCTCGGGAGAGACATCAAGGCTACAAGACAACAGCGTGAGCACGCGCACCCTGCAAATTGTTCGAAACGTGGGCTCTGGGGCCAGGCTGCCCAGGTTTGAACCCTGGCTCTGCGTCTTAACAACTGAACGTCCTTAGGCAGCTGCCTTAGCTTCTTTAACTGTAAAACGGGAATGACAGTGTCTCTACCTCCCAGGGGTACGGTGGGGACTGGATGAGATCATCTATCTGCAGGAAAAGAACCTGGCACATAGTAGGCCCTTAGCAGACATTAGCCAACGAGACCAGAAGTTTTAACCCTCTACCTAAAGGGCTGCAGGTGTCAATGAACCTGAAACCGTATGTGTGGTTTTCCTCTGCCCTCAGGGAAAGGGTCTGCAAACTCTCGGAATCTCAAAGGAGTCTTTTGATGTAAAGAAACACTGAAGTAGTTTAAAGTCTGGTTGAGGGGCAAGGCTGAGTTTCTTTCTTGTGTGCTCCCCACAGCAAACAGGGCCTGACTGCCTGCATGTATTACGCAGCAGTGAATACTTAATGGAGAGACGGGGGTGGTGTGGGAGTCAGCATGGGAATGCACTGATCGAGCGGACCAGGGCCCAACCCTTCAGATGCTCGAATCTCTCCCACCAGTCTTAGTTGCTGCCCAGTGACAGGCCCCCGCCGAAGCCCCGAGCCTTGGCTACAGGCCCCGCCCCCTTTCCACCCTCTCAGCCTTACCCAAACCTCTCTGCCCAGGGAGCCCCTGAAGGAACTCAGCATTCAGATACAGAGATGAACTCAGAGTCAAGGGACAGGCCCGGTGTGCTCCGAGGTTAGGCCTGTCTCAGCAGGAGATGGTTAGTGACAAGCCTGGCCCTGGAGCAGGTGCCCAGAAGTGAGAGGCTGTGTGAACCACCAGGTCAGCCGTGAGCGAGCAGCCCCACACTCAGGAAGCACATCACTTACAGTCGCTTGATCCCAGACTCCGGCTGGGGGGACATTCTCGGGTGGGCGACCGGTGGAGGTTGGGGTATTCGATTTTCCTCTTCTATTTCTTCACTGGAAGGAGTTGAGAGGTGTGAGATAAGACAGTCAAAAATTCTGTAAGAGCTGGAATATTCTAGAAGGGTATTGTCTGATGGTCTGGGAGGGCTTGTACTAGGAAGAGGGGGACCTAGGAAGATGGCCATAGTGGCCTGTGCCCCAACAGTCTCTTTGCCTGGGGGGCTGGCCTCTTAGCAGTGGGCGTGGCCAGTGAAGAGAGAGGTCAGCCCTGGAGGCAATGCCTATGGTCTCTTTGGCCCAGCTGGTCAAATGTGAAGAATTTCAGGAAAGGAACCCACATCTCAGAAACGCAATCTTCAGTTTCCTCTGAAGAATCTTGCCACACAGAACCTGTCCTTGCCAAATGCTATCTTCATACCTTTGTGGCTTCTTCCATCTCAACATCTCCCATACCTGACTAGTACCCTATCCTTTAGGGAAGGGCCCAGTTCAAATGCCACCTCTGCCATGAAGTCTTCCTGGTTCCTACCCCATCCCTGAGAAGTAAACTCTCCCTTTGAACAGCCAGTGCACACAGCATCAGTAAAACTTTCTTATGTGCCAGGCTTACAGTGGGTTTTCAATAAAAATACATGGCACTGTGTCTTCTGTGCCTCTCGTTTTCCCTACTGGAGCAGGGACCACATCTGGTGCATCTGTCCTTCCTTCTGGCTCTCCACTCAAGAAGTATTTGTTGCATACCGACTCTGTGCTAAGCTCTATCCTAAGTCTTGGGAACTTAGCCATGAACAAGACGAATGTGGTTTCTGGTCTCACGTTGTTATAGTCTGGTATGGAAACATACAATAAAACAAGCACATTAACGAACAGGATTTCAAAAAGACGGTGAAGGACTGTGAACTGAGTAAAGTGACAGTGACTGGGACAGGGCACTCCTTTGAAAGGGAGATAATGTGGAAGGAAGGCCTCTCTGAGGAGGTGACCTCTGACCTGAATCCTGAGTGACCAGCAGTCAACCATGGGAAGAGTCAAAGAGAATGTTTTCCCAGCTACAGGACCAGCATGTGCAAAGGTCCTGAGGTAGAAACAAATGTAGCACGTTTTGAGAAACCAATAGAGGGGTAGTGTGTATAAAGCTGAACCAGTATGTACAATCGAGGAACTGGATTTTAAAGGTTATTTTAGTTTAACTCATTTAAACTTAAATAGCCACTCAGCTAGTGGCTTTCGTAGGAGACAGTGCCGCCCTAATATATGCAAGGAGGTCACGGGCCAAAAACCGAACGAACAAATACTTAGGCTGCACAGCTCTGCCATCTCTTATCTGCAAAATTCTAACATCCAAAAAGCTCTAAAAACAAAAATTCATTTTTTGGTCACTCATTTGGTGGCAACACCTGAAAAACTCTCATGAGGCCGATGACAGTGTTTATCCCATGTCGTATGAATATTCACATCTTGGCCACAAAAATATTAGCGTGTTTGATTTGGGGGGGGGCTGCCGCAGGGCTCGCTGGTGGTGTGCGTTACGTATTCCTTTCTAACAGCTGGGAAGTGCTGAATCAGAAAACGCACCTGGGCCCAAGAGTTTCAGAAAGGGATCGTGAACTTGTGCGTTAAGTGCTTCCAGACAGGGTCCCCGGAACGGAGACAGATGCAGTTCTTGTCCTTCCCAAACTCCGCACAACCCCAGCAAGGAGCCAGCCCTGGAGCTCCCGGGGACGCTCACCTCTTATAGTACGCCAGCTCCTCCTGCAACAAAAACACCTTGGACTTGAGTTCGTTCCTCTCGTGCAGCACGTCCCGCAGCTCCTGCAGGGTGAAGCGGGGGCGGTTGGGGTCCTTGAGATCCATGGCCATCTTCTCCGCCTCTGAGACACACTCCTCTCCACCCGGCTCCGTCTGGAGGAGGCAGAGATGCTGCTAATGAATTCCTGGCGGCCACCAGCACCAGCACCCACCCCGCATCCTGCCGGAGCCCGAATCTCCCACCCTCCCGGGGCCTCGCAGCTTGCCAAGGGCGCTATTTTAAGAACTCGCAGGCGGCCTCTGCTCACGTTCTGTGCAGTCAGCATCGCGTTGGAGACGAAAGCCAGCGGCCACCTGTTCATTGTTCTCCTTCTCAGCAGCCAGCCCTGCCGTCCTGGTGCCTCCCCACCTGACTCAGGGGTTTATTACCAACACCACTAAAAGGTGTCCAAGGGGAAGAAACAGCACACCCCAAATGCTGCCGCCCCCATAGATCTGCTTTCCTTGTCCCATATTCTCTCCTCGTATTCTTACTAAGACCGTTGCTAAGAAGACCTTTGCTAATTTGGCCAAAGTTGTTAAAATCAGAGCTTATGCCCAGTTTTCTCTTCCCTTTTCATTTAACATTGAGTCGTACAGGTTTTCCCATTTGTTCCTGGACTTCTGGTCAAGCCCCGTCATCTCCAGTGGCTGAGGGATCGGAGGGAGCCCAGGGGAAGAGGCAGGTGACATCACAGCAGGTGTGCACGGGTGGGGCATTTCTCTTTCCACACAGGTCCCTCAGATGGACCGGAGCGTGCTAAGTCACCTGCTTCAGGTCAGACCCTAACCCCATCCTCCCTCCCATTCTCACAGCAAGAAGGTTTTTAAAACAAAACAAAACAAAACAAAACAAAACAAAACAAAACAAAACACAACTGGTAAGAGACACTTAATATAAAACCGACCATTAAAAATACACTTCGGTGGCACTTAGTACATTCACGGTGTTGTGCAGTCAGCAGCTCTGTCTAGTTCCACAACATGTTCATCACCCCAAAGGAAACTCCATACCCACTAGCCGTCACTTCCCAGCCCTCCTCCCCCCAGACCCTGGCGACCACTGTCTGCTTTCTGTGTCCGTGGATTTGCCCTTTCTGGACATTTCGAATAAATGGAATCAAACAGTATGTTTCCTTTTGTGTCTGGCTTCTTTCAGGTAGCGTCGTGTTTTCCAGGGTCATCCATGCTGTAGCAGGTCAGTGCTTTGTGCCTTTTCATGGCTGAATACTATTCCGCGTGTGGATATGCCATGTTTTGTTTATCCTATTACCCACTGAAGGGCATTTCGGTTGTTTCTACCTTTAGGCTATTGTGAACAGTGCTGCCACGAACATCTGTGTACGAGGATTTGTCTGAACCCGTTTTCAATTCCTCCGGGGGGATACCTAGGGGAGGAGCTGCTGGGTCACACGGTCTCTCTCTGTTTAACTGTTTCCTACAGCAGCTGCCCCACTTTACGTTCCGTCAGCAGCGTAGGAGGGTTCCACAGTCTCCACATCCTCTCTAACAAGTGTTTTTCTCCTTTTTTTTTTGATAGCAAGGAAGGTTTTGCAAACTGCCTCCGAGTCAGCTGGCCAAATCTGCGGGGGTTTCTGACACCCTTGAACCGCCAATATCCCATCATCAACTAGAAGGAGTGGACAAAAGTTCAGGACCACAGCAGGGAAGCTCTGGAACGGGGGAAAGTGGGGTTGAAACAGAGACACCACCCCCCTGCCCCAAATAAATCCCACAGCAGCACAGGAGGAAATGCATGCCGACCCAGACGATGACAGAAGGCCAGCAGGTTGAAGGACCCCAGGAGGCAGAGCTGAGATGCCTCCATCCCGGGACAGTCGGCACAGGCTGTTCTGACATGTGAAAGGAGACACCACTCGGCAGGGCAGATCAAGTGACAGAGAGTCACCCAGCAGGCACAGGTGGGGGAAGCGGGTCTGACCAGGAGTCAGCGCGGAGCAGGGGAGGCACCTGGCTCCAGCAGAAGATGGAAATATGCCATCCCCAAGCCCTCTGGGCGATGGAGCGGGGCCTCTTCCCACCCAACAAGTACGGACGACTTCACGTCCCAAGAAGGTTCTCTAGGTATCTGCTGATGCCACACCTTCAGGTGGGCTGTGTCCCCAGGGGACGTCTTCAGCGTCTGCCTCCTACAAAGCCACACAGTTGGACAGTGTCCTCCACCCAAGGCCGTGCATGGCAAGTGCCTTGTATGCAGTAGGCACTCACTAATGCCGATCCCCTTCTCCTGCCCAGGTTAACCACGGAGCATCTTTGGAATAATTTGGGATCTCGATAAATACTGGATGTCTCGATAAACATTCCAGCATTTATTGAGCATCACCTGTGTGCCTGCTGGGCACTGAGCTAGTGAGTTGAGTCAGCTGGGGTTGGAGGGAAGATACACATAGACAGAAACTTACAAAGTCCTATAATAAGAAGTGCAAGGACATCAAACTTTAACTGGGAAGGATCATGAGAACATTACCAGGAGTGAACCCTCTGTGCATGGGGTGTGACAGATACAGCAGGAGTTTACCAGGAAGTCTGGGTGTCCCCCCAGTGCCGCCCCCCCCCCCAACATTTTGTGTGGCCTTCACTGTGTTCTAAAACTCTTTGGAATTAGTTCCCAACAGTTTTTTTTTTGTTTGTTTTTTATTTTTAAATTTTTTTTAATGTTTATTTTTGAGAGAGAGAGAAACCAGCCAGTGAGTGGGAGGGGCAAGAGGGAGACCTGGGGTGAGCAGGCTCAGGCTCATCAGCACAGAGCCTGATGCAGAGCTCAAACTCACGGACCGTGAGATCATGACTCACGAACCGTGAGATCATGACCTGAGCCGAAGCTGGATGCTCAACCGACTGAGCCACCCAGGCACCCCTCCCAACCGTTTTATATCAGGAGATTTCACACTATTTGGGTCTTGAGCTTCGTTTTGGAAGAAATATTGGAAGACTGGGTTACACTGGGTCCACACGGCAACACTGGGCTGGTGCTGCATAGCAGCTATTGCCTTTTATGTGTTCTTTCCGTGTCTGCTCCCGCCCCCCCACCCCCCGTTCCTCTGTGCCTGGACCCCATAGGCACGGGCAGCCCCTGCCGTGGACCCAAATTTCAGGCTCACACACTCCCTCCAGCCTCTCCCTTCCCAGATAACTCAGGCCCTGCCATTCACTGGGGCAAGTCTGTGCCTCTCTGTGTCTCTGAGAGGGGCCGTCTGGCAGGGATCCATACCTCCTGGGGAAGGTGAAAAGCCCTTCACGAGGGTTCCCAAATCCGCACTTCCCAAGAGGCCTTTGGGCAAGCTGCCTGATCCCCTCTGGACCTTCATTTCCCCATCTAGCCCTTGATAATCCAGTAATATGTCTAAGCTCTGTTTCCGCCCAGGCACTGGAGACCGGAGATTCCCCAGAACACATGCTCTCCGGACCCAGCAGGTTCCACCCACCCCCGTGGGCTGTAAGCACCCAAGAAACGGAAAGGCTTCCTCAGACCTGAGTTCTTTTTCTCTGGGGAAGGGATGTTTCTTTAATCAGAGCAGCAACCTCATGCCCTAGAGCTCAGGGGATTCCCAGACAGGTTTGCAAAAAAGTCCCGACTTCTGGGACCGCTGCCTGAAGTGCAGAAGAGGGAGTGTGGGGCTCCAGCTCTTCCGGAGGCCCTGCAGGTGCCAATGTAGCGCCTCGAGCAGCCCAGGACTGGCCTGTCCTGAGAGAGACCGCGAAGGCTCTTCCCACCGTGGAAATCAGGCCCATCGCCGATGGGTCTTCTAAGTTTACTCCACGAGGGACCACAGAGGTGGCTGGGGTTATCGAGGATTGTCCACTAGTCCCCGGAGGCGCTCTGGGCACAGCTTGAAGGAGATGCCCTGAGGCCCCAGCTGTCCCCAGGGAGGCCCCAGAAGCCAGCTGACAAGCAGTGGGGCCGGACTGGCTTAAGGAAGGCCACATCCTCCACCAGGGCCCTGCGTCCTGAGGCCCAGCCCCCTGGCCCCTCTCCCCCGACCTGGGCACATCAAGGCCACTATGCTCCCTCAGCTCCTGGCCCAGCAACGGGGGGTGACTCTGCCCTGGTTACCTTCAGTAACTCCAGGCCCACCATGCATGCATTCAGCCAGAAAACCCAGCTTCACACACCAGCCATCAGGCCCCTGGTCTGCTTTCCCTGAGCACTTAAATAAACATTTATTAAGATAACAGAATTTGTAAGGCAGAGACATCAAGTAGGTAACTACTAGCTTCACAGTTTTGTTATGATTTTAGATGAAATCCTTTAGATAGGGAGCCCACCAAATCATTTTCTAGAGGGTTCTATGTCTACCTATCAAAGGTAGAAAAGCCTCCAGTGAAAACATGAGAAACCGGACAAGCTAGAAAACATGCTGAGTGAGGGAGCCAGTCAGGACCACGTGTTACGTGATTCCACGTCCCTGAAATGTCCGCACACAGGCAGATCCAGAGACACTGTGGCCAGGGGCTGGGGGAGGCAGAGATGGGGAGTGGCTACTAATGGGTACGGGGTTTCTTTGGGGAGTGATGGAAATGTTCTAGATCGTGGAGATGGTCGTACAATAGAGTGAACATACTAAAACCTGTTGAACTGTATACTTTAAGTGGCTGAATTGTACGTGAATGTCTCAATAACTATGTTATAAAAACATATAAGGAGGCTTATTTACCGGTGGTCACAGTGAAAGACTGATGTAGCTCAGAAAGGATCGCATGAATCGAGGGGGAGAACCGGAGTAACCAAGGCATTGATGAGAACTGATTCCTCCCCACCTCTGGATCCCTCTGTAGCTCCCATCTCCTCTCACCGATCCTATGCCAGGACCAGCCCACCACCCCAGCTGCACCTGTTCCTTCTCCAGTCTGGCTCGTGTTCTTTCTCCTGCCTGGAGTGCCCTGCCCCACGTTCCTCCCTAGGCATCATCCTAGCTATCCCATAAGACTTGTCTCAATGACTTGAAAACCTGCACTGTGCTCGCTTCTCCACTGAGGATCCACCGTGCCCTCCTCCGGCCCCACGGCCCTCTATCCCTGCCACGCTAGCTAGCTGGTCTACTGAACCACCTCAAGCTCATTCCCCTCATTTTTCAGATAGGAAACTGAGCCCCAAAGAGATGGATGGGCCCCAGATCCCGCGGCAGCAGGTGGAAAGCCACCACAACCCGCAGCTTCCCTGTGTGAGTGACAAGTATCTTGAACCCTACTCAGCTCCGAGGGAGGGAGTCAAACTCAGCAAGGACGCCCCAAGTTTGGGAACAGACTCCGCAAAGCAGCCCCGCGGCTTAGTCATAACTGCCACCTGATTTTGCTCCACTTCCGTCCCACCCGCTTGGTGCCAGCAGGGGAAACTGACACGGACAGGCAGTTGGGCCAAGGAGACGTGGCACGTCCCTGTCCTGTCGCTAAACAGATGCGGAGCAGGGCTCGGCGTCTCGTGGCTGGGGTGGTGTCCCCGGGACCTGGGTTTGCGGCAAGCCCCGCCTTCCCAGGAGGAGCCGGGCCTGACTTCTCATGGGGCACAGGGGGCTGGAAGAGGGACACCAGGGGAGGAGGGGGGGGTGACTGCCCTCAGCCGCGCCTAGTGGTTATTTCTGGCATCTGTCTCCTCCTCACCCATCCCACTGCCATAGATTGGGCACAGACCTCGCCTTTCTTGTCTGGACTACTGCAAAGGGCTCCCAACAGCCATGTCTGCCTTCAGCTCCTTCCCCTCCCAAGAGCCCTCCATAGACTCCGAGCTGATCCCACTCCTCCCCTGCTGAACCCTGTGGGGGGCGCCACAGTCCCCACTGCTCAGAGTCTTGTGTGTGGCCTTCTGGGCTCCGACTTCCCGGTGCTGTAGACGACGGCTGCCGTCTCTGTCTGCCCTGCCACCGTTTCCATACTTGTCTGGGCTGGGTCCTTGCCGCTGTCCTCTAGAGAAACTCCCTCTGCCCACCTCCGGCGCGTGCGGCATGGATGGGCACCGCGTGGCGTAGCCATGTGACTCAGGAACAGACACCCCATGCATATTCCGGACCTCAGGCCACAATGACTGGTTCAGCGATGGGCCGAGGAGAGGGTTTCCTGAGACTGGCTGGGAATTTGGGAAAGAGGCAATTTCTTTTCACTGGGGTTGGTATACTGGTAGTGTACCAGGGGCCACTATATGGCAAGAGCCGACTTGAGAACGACACCGACACAGAGGAAAGCAAAGCTGAGAGATCTGATAGCATCATTTGGGCCCCTGGAACCAGCTATACCTGAAGCCATCATTACCTCAAAGCTTTTACTATACAACCCAAAATTCCTCTTTTTGTTTTTTTATTCCTTAAACCACTTTAATTTAGGCTTCTGTCACTTCTAGCCAAAAAGCAAGCCCTAACTTCTCCCTTTTAAGGCCTCTTTCCCTAACCTCCCTAACTGTATCCCAGGTACCTGTGCTTCGGAGAATCTAGAACTGTCTGGCCTGAACTCACGAGATATCTAACGACCGTGCTGGCATTTGAGCCAACCTGATTGTGGGCTCATCTGTCTTCCCTCCCCTACCTGTAACCCAGGAAACTAGCACAGTGTCTGCAAACCTGAAACAGTCAGTAAATATTTGCTGGAAGAAAGAGTAAGCCCCGAGCCCTTCCCGAACAGTCCACTGTTTTTCTGAAGCAGCACGTCCACCTTCCACAACTACCTATCAAAATCTTAGCACTGTCAACACTGACATCCAGCTGAAGGGACACCTCCTCCATGAAACTGTGCGCCACCCCCGTCAGGATTAACTGCCCCATCTCTGTGTTCCTGGTACACCCCCCGGGGGCACCTCTCTGGGGCAGACCCCTCTGGTGCCCCGTGTCCAGATTTTAGGTGTAGCTGTGGTGTAGTTCCAGCCGTGGAAAAAGCCCCCCTGCCCCCGCAACCCCAGGCACATATCGCACATCTTTCCATTTCTGCCCTGAGATCTGCTCTGTAAGTCCTGCCCGGGATTGTCGGGGACATAACACCCCCAGAGGCCACCAGCTCACTGGGGGCGGGTGCATGTGGATGAACGTTCCAAGCCTTTCTCCTCCAGAAAGACACTTCTGTGTGTTTCTCAGAGGTCCCAGCAGGACTGAGCTAGTAACACCCCTGAATCCACTTTTCCTTCTTCCCCGTCTCATGCCCCTGATCTCTGGGGTCACCTCCCAGGTAAACCTCCTGCCCATCTTCCTTTTCTCAAGCTCTGCCTCAAGGGAACCCAGAAGACAGTCTCTTACCACGAAGATAATCCCCTCCCACCTTAAGTGGCTGTGGGTGTCCAAGTCTGTCTCCTGCACTGGACGGTAAGCTCTTTGAACCTCCACAGTACTCAGCACAGTGCTTCCAGGTAGAAGACCAAACCCCACCCTGTGGCCTCCCTGGCCTGCAGCACCAGCCCGTGCCCATCTCTCTGACCTCACTCAGACCTTCTGCCTCCCCCTCACACTGCATACCAGCCACCCTTGTCTTCTTAGGCTCCCCCGATTGCACTGCAATTTCTCCTGCCACAGGGCCTTTGCGTGTGCCACTCCCCTGCCTGGAACTCACTCCCCCTTCACTGTTTACTCTCTCCTTCTTTTGATAATGTCTTTTTAGAAAATGCTTACTTATTTTGAGAGAGAAAGAGAGAACGAGTGGGGGAGGGGGAGAGAGAGAGGGAGAAAGAGAATCCCAAGCAGGCTCCGAGATGTCAGCACAGAGGCCAACTCGGGGCTCAATCTCACAAACTGTGAGATCATGACCTGAGCCGAAATCAAGAGTCAGACGCTTAACTGACTGAGCCGCCCAGGCGTCCCTTGATCACCTCCTCAGAAAAAGCCTTTTTGACTCCTCCAGACGATCACGGTAATCAATAACAACAGCCAACACTGTAAGTGAACTAACTCACTTAATTGTCACGATGACCTGGGGCTAGACTGTTATTGTTCCCATTTTAGACATGAGGAAACTGAGGCACGGAAAGTCTCAGTAATTTATCCAAGGTCAGGGAGGTAGTAACAGGCTAGATTCGGAGCGAGTCGGACCAGCTCTAGAGTCCGTGTAGTTAGCCAGCTACACGCTATAGCTCCCCCCTCAGGCTCCTCCCAGTTCCCCTAAGTGTAATGGGAAAAACCAGGCAGCCTTGCCCACCTCCAGCCGGCTCACAGACCTACCTTCCCACTTGGCTTCGGTGGCTGGCTTCCCGCTTACCTCGGGCTCCTCCTCTCCATTCTGGCTGAGTTCACCCTGCAGCCTCTCTCGCAGCTTCCCAAGCTCTGCCCGCAGGCTGCCCATCTCCTGTTCCTTGGTTTGCAGATCTGCCTCTAGTTCCACCTTCTGTTCGATCAGGGCCTTCCCCTGGGCCTCCACCACTGTGACGCGGTGCCGGAGGTCGTGGTTGATCTTCATCAGCCGCGTCTGCTGCTGCTGCAGCTGGAGAAAGAGGAAGGCCGTTTATGGGGCCGCCACATGCAGTAGCTCGTGTGGTGCACTGCACGAGGGCAAATCGCCTACAGGCGTGCCATTCGCACCGGAGACATCTTGCTTTGTTTGAAGTCTGCTCATATTCTTAGAACTGCTGAGGCCAGAAACGCTAGGATAATCTGATGACAGTTGGAAGAGAAGTGTTTCGTCAGTGTATTACGACGACTTCCGAACGGACAGAAGTAGCATGCCTTGAGAATGGGGCATCTTTTTCTAATTCCGGCGCAGACGCCGTCCGGGTTTCTAGAGCGGCCTGGACCGTGCTGGCCTGCTCCCGGAGGGGCACGACGAGGCGGGGCTGACGGAAGCGTCGGGGCCAGAACAAAGCCTGACTGGGCCTCGGCACCTCCCCGGGGCGTGGGAGTAGCAAGGTCACGGGGCAGGCAGCGCCACGTTCCCTCCTGGGGCAGCGCACACCCGGCCGAGGGTCGGCCCCGCGGCCGCCGCTTCCGGACCCCGCCGCCCAGAGCCCACGGAAGGCCAGAAGGGGGCAAGGGGACCGCTGGCCCGGAGGGCGGGCACGGGGCGGGGGCTGCCACTCACGGCCTCCACGTCTTCGTTCTTCAGACCCAGCTCCCTGTCCCTGGCGCGAATCTCGTCCCGCTGCTTGTCCACCACCTCCTTCAGCTTCTTCATCACCTGCCGCTCGCGCTCCGACATGCCTGCGGCGGGGTGGGCGAGGGCAGCGGGTGAGCCCCGCGTCCCCCGTCCCCTCCGAGCTCATCCCGCCTCAGGGCCCCGGCCGCTGCTTCGGGCTAGCCTCTCTGTGCCTCAGTTTCCACATCCACAAAATGGGAAACATAGTACCTACCCCACACGGCCGCTGTGAGGACTGATTCAGCGAATACACAGGAAGCGTGGGAGACAAAGCCAAGGGGTGCTGTCTGTTCCTGCCGCCCCCGGCCCCCGGCCCCCCGAAGTATACAGTCGGCTCCGGGAGGCAGGGCCTTGCCTGTCCCGTTCACTGCGTATTCCCTCGGCTAGCACGGTGCCCGGCACACAGCAGGTGCTCGCTAAGTGATCTAGGGCGTTCATAAACCGTGGGGACGGGTGGCCGCTGCAACACGAGTGACAAAATCGGACAGCCTGAAGCATCAGAAATTTATTTTCTCATAGTTCTAGAAGGCAGAAGTTTAAAATCAGTCCAAAGTCAAGATGTCGCCAGGGCTGTGCTCCCT